GCCCGAACTCGACCATGTGCACTGGGCGTGGTTTAAACTGAAGTGACGTCACACTTACGAACCGGATAGAGTACTTAAGTGTGAACCGTGAACTAGAAAGTGCAGTGCAAACGAATAGAGTACATGTGCGTGCTGTTTCACGCGCTGATTCTCGCTCTAATGCCTTTTAAACACATAATTGTGCGCGTGACGTATTCACTTCAATACTCTATCCGGTTCGTAAGTGACTTCGCCACAAAGGCGGACGCGCCACCATTTGCAGGCTCCCGTTGGACGATCGCTGAAGTTGCGCGTTCAATTCCGGTTCCATGGTTCCGCGTAAACGGCGGTCATATCTATGCATGTGACTCTCTGTGCAGTGCATTTGCAGTTGGTGTGGTGTAAACTGAAGTGACGTCACACTCCAGATGGTCTTTGCGTACACGCAGAACGAGTACAAGAACCTACTTGTGACCATCTGTCTTTCTTTCGCCGATTGGGGTGCACTTCAGCTCGGGGCGGATTGTTCAAAGATTCCTCGTCACTCGTCATTTCTTTCGGGAAAAAAATGATAAACATGATCAAGATAGAGATTGTGACAAAATGATTGTTAAATGCCTCATGTGCACTCCGAATAATCGAGACATGCTACTCAGGGTCACACTTCCTTTGTCAAATAAATGACTTTCACATACTCCCGAATGAATGAGACAGCTAATACGCAACAGCAGACAACAAAAAGAGATCTAGTTGTTTTCAGAAAAGAACCACCTAATTCTGTTGAAAACAACAACAACAACGACGACGACAACAACAACAACAACAACAACAACACATAATCGAAGCCTCAAGAATAGTTATGTACTTCATCTTTTAGAAAAAATTACTCTGAAAAAAATTGCACAAGACACTGAAATTCATACCCAACATTTGTGCTGTGGCCATCCACCCTGGGAGCATTTTTTGCTTTCTAATTTTTCACCCAATCTGAGTTGAAATCTTCTTGAAATACAGTGAGTCTCTTTCAGTTGTTCAATGTATTCTGGAGTCCGTTTTAACGAAGTTGATTCCCAAATCAATATTTCTTTCCACACTCTCTCTCATTTTTTTTCGTTCCACTGCAGATGACGCCGCTTGGGGCAGACTTTTTGATGTACAATCCAAAACATGGAGAGAAACTGGTCCAGTAATCAGAAACAGCCAGACACCTCTCTCAACGCATCGGCAGACAAGCCCCAGTCGAGAATTTCACAGGGGCGTAGGGTGAAGGTACAATGATACTTGTACTAGGAACGACTGTTAAATTGACACCTTCCACGGTTTTTTTTAAATTTGTCTGACACCGGGACGTTTAGTGACCCTCTGACCTAGACCTAGTCTCGGCTCGCTTGTCGCTCCCGGGTTGGGGTGCAGGCGCGGAAGCGGACGACATTGGTTTTCAGACCCTGAAAGTCAGTCTGTGTGCCCAAACAGAAACTTTAAAGTAGAACGTTCGGAAACACGATTGTGTATGAGGTCCCAGGTTGCAGAATAGTATAAATAGGCTCCAAAATAGCCTACGGGTGCCAAAATTATAATAAAACTTGCATGCTCTCAGATTCTCTGTTTTTGGAGCATTTTTGTGGTCCATGAGAACTAGGGTGCGTGAACAATAAAAGTGGAAACCAAGAACAAAACTTAAAGCTTGTATCGATGAGAACTGCTGATAAAGTTGGGTCCTAGAAGTGCTTTATTTCGCTGTGAATGCAGGCATCACTCTTCTTAGCAGCGACAGGCTTCATAACTTAATTCTTTTAGGGGTGACATTTCGATGGAAGTTGCCCCAAAAGTCGTTGGGATTGTGCGTATACTTAAATTAAACATAAAATGAAAACTGGTGATGAAACAGGCCTTCCTTTGCCGGCGGAGAAATTTAAGGGGCTCGGCCAAGAGTGGGAAAACCTTCTTGCAGATATCTCCAACATTTAAACAAACTTTCCTATACTTCTAAGCCAAACTTTAAAAGTCTGAAACTTCTACTATAGATCACGGCGGTCTAGAGGCTTGTTTCCTGTACTGGGTCTGATTCCTAGACGAAACTACCTCACATTTCATCCAGCCCAGTCGTACTTTTACCTTCCCGTTCAGAAGTAAGCCACGTCAATGCACTTTGAGCGAAATTTCCTGAGTGGGCATCGGGGGGGGGAAGTTGATCACATGGCCCCCTTAATGCACGAATATAGCCAAGCCAGATCGGGTTGAGAATCGATCAAGTGCCCGGTGCCTCCTGCATTTATAGAAGGACTGTAATGCTATCCTTCACCCCTCTGCTCTATAACCTAGGAAACAAATTTTTTCGTGACCCATCCGACCCAGAAAGATGAAACAGGATACAGCAACGCCGGAAAAAAGAACGGATAAAAGCACTGAAACCTCTCAGATACGTCAAGTATGGTGGCCCAGGGATACCACAAAATATATCAGGATGGTGTATTCCATTTCCATCCGCGGTTTTACCAATGGGCTGGCAGAGCGCACGCTAGCGCATTCTGAACTGTGCAGTGTTTTGTAACTGTGCTGTTTATGCTCGACTGATCACTCTTGGGTGGTGGGCCCTGGAACGTACTCTGCCGAAAAATTCTCCACATCAGAATTTATGAGCACATCCTTTTTGAAATGTTAAACTTTTCAAAGGTTTATTAACTTAAAATTCAGTTCAATATAATTTGTTCGACTCTGTACAGTTCACCAAGGTTTGCCCTCAATTATCAAGGTAGAATATATCATGGCCTGGGTGCGAAAGCGGGGGGGGGGCAGGGGGCCAGTGACCCCCACTTTTTGACCGTGGGCATGCCCCTTTTTTGCAGGTCCTATAATGGGATGGGCTCTTATTGATCGGCCTTTCAATGGCTGATGCCTGAGGGTCTTACAAATTCACCCCTCATTTTAAAACCATTCACCACACGTTGACATAATGTCCGTAAAAAATAATGGTGAATTCGAGGGCCTGTGGCTTCAGTAACACTGTTTCAGATTTTTTAATGGATCAAATGGGAACCCGCAAGGACGACGTATTTTTATACGTTTGTATGTTTTGTTCTTTTGCAGATAGTAATTTTGGTAGTCATCAGCGTGTCCCTGGTCCTGCAGGGCCTTGCCTTCCCTGGCAAATCATCATTTCTCTATCCTTTTCGAATTTTTGAGGACTTAAGTAGCAACAAATACTACAACGTGTTGATTTTTGGCACCAGAGAGCACTTATCTCAAAGGATTGACTTTTTAGAAGAAGTAAAGGGAGTGTGGAAGGCCGAATTTTCTTGCGCCAAAGGAACCAGCGTTGTGCTGAGTGTTGGCAAAAACAAGACAGACTTTATGGATAAAGATGCCGTTGTATTTAACATAGATGAACCAGCGGTCGTCCAGAAAATCGCAATGCTGGTATCCATGCAGCCATCACCCAAGCAAGCGTGGGTTTATTACGGGAGGGAATCAGCGGTCCGCACAAGGTGGCTGTTTAAAGCGTACAGCGGGTCCCTTCCACTGCATGGAGTCTGGTCCTACCACCGCGATGCCGAGGTACACACACCGTACGGGTACTTCGTTGCGAAGGGACCAGCGTCGAACGACAGCCAATCAGACACGGACCGGTGGTTGCGCGGAAAATCCAAGCTCGTCGCATGGATAGTGAGAAACTGCTACAACACATTTTGGCCCAGGACCGCGTACGTGGAAAATTTGCGAAAGCACATCAGCATCGATATTTACGGGAGCTGTGGACCGCTTGTCTGTCCGTTCCAACCCCGCTCCGACTGCGTGACGATCCTGAAACAATACAAGTTTTACCTGGCGCTCGAGAGTGCCGAATGCGACGATTACGCCACTGAGAAACTCTGGGAGACCGCGTACACGAACGGAATCGTCCCCGTCGTGTACGGTGCCCAACGAGAGTTTTATGCGAAAGAGGCACCACCAGACTCCTTCATTTTTGCCGGTGATTTCAGCTCGACCAAACAACTGGCGGAGTTTCTGCTACACTTGGACAAAAATCCCATCCAGTACGCCAAGTACTTCGACTGGCGTCGCAAGGGTCGGATAGAGATACCTAAGCTAGCCGATCGCTCCCTCCATCCCGAGTATTTCTGTCCTCTGGTGCCGTTTATTGCGAAAGTTGCCGGTGGTAATGTCGCCAAGAAGCCTCTTTGCGAGTTCCCCTATTACACCTCGTGCGTTGTTCTGAGGGGACGCGATGTAAGGCATCGCCCAGGAACTCGGCGGAGGTTGAGACACTGGAAGCCCAGAAACTATTGAGCCTCCAGGAATATCAACACGAAATAACTAGGTCCAGCTTTGCGGTCGCGTAGCCAAAGGGATGCAGACTGAAAAACTGCATGCAACGGGATGGAGAATCTAGAAGCGAAGAGTCGGGTCCCTGACTACCCCGAGCAAATTAGCATAGGCGGGGAACCCGCCTTGAGTAGAAGCACCCCTCAATCGGTAGAAAAGAGCCATGTTAGCGGAGAGTATTCATTTTGTTGGAAGCGACACGACTGTGTAACGTGTGCATTTCATAGTCGTTTGTGAAGTGTAACTCCCATGAGGGCTCGCAATGCTTTTATCCCAAATGAAGCCACTTGCGGCCGTTTACCGTGCCGAAAGAATTTGGTCAAAGATGGCGAGCAAGTCTTTGAATTACCTTTGTATTCGGCACGGTAAGATGGCCGCCGGTGGCTTCAATGACATCTGCGTGCTGATTAGGGGATTACGGGTTCATTTTTTTCGTTTTACATGAATTCCTCAATTGCGCCCTCTCGATCTTTTGTATGGTCGGGCTCGGGCCTCTGTGGCGCGAATCCGGGATAGTGAAAATATGAATAATAACTTCAAGTTCAGGACGGCCCCAAAAGATATAAGAACGTTGTAATACTGTGTTAACTAAGCATTCCCCAAATGGACTTTAATGTTACTGGTGACTTCATGCCCAGCCTAATCGGCCGTTTCACAGTAGTGCGCCACCAAGAATTTGCAGCGCGTTGGCCAATCACAATGTCGACCCAAACGAACTCTTGGTGGCGCACTATTGTGAACCGCCCGTATTCTGTAACAGAACCTGAACTTGACGATTTGTTCATTCATGATTATGCACGCGTGCGCACAAATGGCCTTGGCGGCCTGTAAGAAGTGTGAGCGGTCCATTGAAAACGTACAGGAGTGCGATTTTGATCATTTGTCCTCAGGTTTTCTGGCTTTGTTCAGTTTTTCTTCATTGAATTGTTTTTGCTATTAGTTCCTTATCTAAGCGGGATTGTAAGCGCTCCGTAAAAAGACTTTACAATCGTGATTTTTCCTGTGCGCACGAGATGCCTATATAAGCCGGTTTCCTTTAGTGCTGTTTTATATAGCAAAAATTCCAAGACAAGGCCAGAGAATTGAAGTCATGGAATTTAACCCTCAGAAACTTGTCGCATTTTTCCTATCGATTTCACTGGCAAATCTTACAAATTTGAGCAGTTGAGGGCGTACTTGTTGAAATGTTTAATGATGTTCAATACTGAAACAGTCTAACCTTCATCTCTACAATACGGTGTTATTCATAGTACTGTATCTAGAATGTAAAAAGAAAACCTAAAACTGAATTTTTGCGAGTCTTTTCTGAACTTTGAAATCGACAAGCATGTTTAAAAGGCTCAGTCCAGATTGCAGATGTAGCGATGATTAGACGAGACTTTCAGTGACTCAGAGTCATTTTTGCAGACAAAAAAATAAAGCTTCAGGTAAGCTACATTTGGCGAAGAACGAGTAACGTTTATATATGATTAAGCTTGATATATGTACCGATAATTTTAACATTGGTGACGTTAATGCTTGTATTTAAAAACTAATGAAATAATAATGAATGATTGCCTCTGTATCTGCGAGAAAAAAAGAAATATATGTGCACTCGTTGATTTTGTACTCCATATTTATTCTTTTAGCGTGACTTACGGGCCTTTTCGTCCGAGTCCGGGGCAACGTCAAGCCGCGCGCCCATAGGACCTGGAGTTTTGGAACATCGGCAAAACAAAATAAATGTGTCTGTCTCATGTTATGGCCATACGTCGCGAATTACATAAGCCGAAATGATGGAGGTGACCATGGGGGTGTGAATGAAAATTTATACCACAATATGAACGTATGGCGGTTGAACAGAGCACCGAAGTGAATACGTCACACGCACACTTATGTGTGTAAAAAGCGTTACCGCGAGTATCCGTGCGTGAACCAACGCGCGCGCGTACTCCATTCGTTTGTACGGCATCAACTGGTTCTAAATGACGTCACACTTCGGTACTCTATTTTAACAGCATCGTATATTTCTAGTGGTTGTCTACCATTAAATTTGTACCCAAGAAATGGATTATAATAAAGGCCTTACGTAACCAAACACTTGTAGACCCACTTCCTATAAAACAGACACTTCATTCGTAAAAAAAAAAATGGAGCAGCGGAAACAATAGCGTGACGGCTGAGATGGAGGTTAAGTCACATAATACCCTCGGTATAGGTATCCTTTACTTATAGTTTCACTACACTAAACACGCGCCCATAGAAAACAGTGCAAAATCAGCCGAAATAGCGCTGCCTGTTGACTCTCGTGAAGAGGTTGGCCTCCGTTTTTTCACTAGAAATTCAGGATTATGGCCAGAAGATCACTTTTCGTTTCAATTTCATGAAGATTAGCCACGAAAAAAATTTTTTATTCGCCTTTGAACGAAGATACCCCCAAAATAGCAATAAAACTAAGCGCTCATTTCCGAATGTAACAGCCCGCTTCTATCCAAATTTTGCTCCGCAATTTGGGGCTTTTTGTGAAAGACATACCCCGAACTGGAAACTATAAGTCCTAAATTTGGGATTGATAGATTGATTGATATGACGCCTCCTGGTTATGGCCTGTCTTATTTCAAAAATCCCGTGGGATCACAAAATATAATTAAGCTCGTGCGAAGAATGACGATTATACAGACATAAATAGCCCAACGATTAGCACATCGTTAATTTACAATAGCGCCCTCTCTTGTCTGGGTTACAATGCACTCAAGGCAGAAAGAGCGCCTGCCGGTGAAACTTTTTTCACTCAAATTTACCTTTGTTTCTCCCGAATGATTAAGCTAATGATATCGCTGTTGAAATAGCAGAAACGAAATAACAAAAGACGGCAGCGATAAAATTGACTAAAGCATCCGGTATGAGGGAATTTTTTTTGGGGGGGGGTTGGAAATTTCCAGCATCATAGGCAAAACCAATTGAACCACGTTGTACATGTATACCGCATGCCTGATCGTCGTTTCTGCTTCACGTCGGCAAAGTTCAGAACTAAAGAAATAGTTGTAAGTTTGATTTCAGATTAAACTGACACAGAGATGTCTGTTGGTTGAACCACGGTTGAACGTGGTAAAATTTTATGAAGCAGCCACTAGGGAGATCACACGTTTGCATATCTAATGTCACACGGCAGGCGAAATTTTATCAACAAACCCATTCAATAGACTTCCACAATGCCTTCCTCCATTTTCTGGCTTGACAATATCTGAGAGGATATATCTCTAAAAGAATAAACTCGTCCGTTACTACCCCAATAGAACTAGCAGTTAAGAAAGAAATTAGTAAAAGATTATTGTAATATAGAATTTGTTTAAGAAATGAATGTTTGTCTTCATTTAATGTAACAATTTGCTCCTTATATCTCCCTGTGAATATTGTCAATTGATGCACCGCTGCATTCATTCATTCAATATGGAGTCCTGGGTGCTACGATGCGGCCGTCAACGGGGCTCACAGAAAATGAAAACATTGCGAAGAATCGTTCATATTTTGGTGCTTTTGCTCTCTGTGTCCGGATGTCAGGCCACTACTCACTGGTTGGTCACGGAAGAAGGTCTGATAACTCAACAGGTGAGTTATAAACAAACGGAGAACCAACCACCCGATTGGCCCTCGATCGACTCTGTAGGCCTAGCACTAATTGAAGTACTAAATTAGTACTAGTACATGTATGTACGAGTAGTATAGTGTTACAGATTAGCCTAGGCCTAATTCACCTACTCTAGAAACTCCTTGCGACTGCAGGGAGGATCAAACGATTCAACACCTACACCTTTTGGTCGTGGCCTGCCCCCTTGTACCAGAACCGTGCTCTGTCAGTGATTTGGAGGTTTTCAACAACAGAGCCAGATCCTGCTTTCAGCACTGGACTGGAGGACTTGTGTAGTGACTCGAGAAGAACTAGACCTACTCTAGGATTTTGTGCAGGTCTAAGTAATAGGCCTACACAGGCTATTACGATAAACTGAGTGACAAGTATTGTGCAGAACTTACCCACGGACAGTCACTACACTGAGAGTGAGCTGAGTACTGTCTAGTATTATCCTGTTTATTGAATTTGAAATAAAAGCTGTATTTACATTGAGTGTTTTCTCGACACTGAAGGGTTTGTCGAGTTCCTCACAGTTCTTTTCAGAACCATACAGACTCACAAAAGAGATCGTATCCTTGCCTGGTGCTACCGCAAGCTTTCCACCTTAGTTGTCTGTCACCATGAATAGCTTGAAATCCCATATGACTGACCAAGTACTCCCGTGGGAAAGAGTTCCATAAACGGACTACACTTATTTTCCCTTAAAATGTTATAACAGCTGTTAGAAAGTGATAACATGTCCTAAAAAGTGAAATTTACCTCATCGCTAATACCACAGCATGATGGGTGATTTTGCACAAATATTGCCCCTTTTCCGGTTCCACGGTGCCTTTCACGCATTATGATTTGGTAAAAAAGGTGTTTTCACCATGTGCTTAAATACAGTGGCCATTGCGCTTTTTTGCAAAGTCTGTCGGCAGATGAGACACTGCTTAAAACCCTGTGCATGAACCCCATGAGGCTGGTCTGAAAAATTCTGTTAAAGTGAATAGCTTGTGTAGATGGCTAGGTTTACTGCAGGGAAAAATTATTCGTGTCTGTATCCAACTTTAAACCATCAGTGACCATATTTAAACATGTTAAACTTATCATGTCGGTGCAGGCGAAATTTCACTTTGTAGTGACTGTTTTCTATAACCACGCAGTTGTGGTGTTCCAGCTTTCATGGATTTAGTTTAGACCTTTATCATGGGGCATCCATCTTGCTTTTCTACCATTCAAAGCAAGGTAACCAAACTGAGGCTGGAAGGACAAATAGTCTGTTCCCTTTTATCAATACGTGAAGATGTCTTACTATTTCCAGTTGGTCTACAGGGAACAAGACAAAGATGGTGGCGTCAAGATAAATGTCTGTCTGCCTTGAACAAAAACACCCCCTTATTGGTTGAAACAGAGCCGTGGTGGTCGGGAGTGTTTATTTTTGTTGGTAGCTATGTGACCTCAACGCACACATTGCATAGTCGTTTGTGAACAAGCGAAGTGCAGGTCCTACCAAAAGAGCCTTCATTGCCAGGAAAATTGCGCCCTCTCTTGGTCGCGCTTGAGGCTCATAGCTGCAGCTTCCTTAATACTCGTCTGCGCTGGGCACATTCACCTGACCGAACGTTTTCTAAAATGACACTGATGCACAACTTTCCCACCAGCTCAACTCGCATTTCAACATCAAGGAGCCCCACAACTTCATCTCCTTCCTCAAGCAAGACCAGCGGGGCGCCAGCATGCGGGAACTGGAGCAAGAGCTGGAGCGCCAGAAGGCGGAGATCGAAGCCAACGAGGACAAGGACCTGGACTTGGAGCAGCGGTTCCTGAGGACGGACAGCGACTGCGTGGCAGCCCAGCAACCCCTGGCCCAGCAAAACCTCTACCCTACCGTGCTGATACCTCTGTACCTCAAGGGTATCAAGTAAGGCTCCCAAATTGCCACTGAGTTTGGGCCTCGGAGACCTGCTACATCTCAGCTTTGTCCACGGCCTCAACTTCGTTCCGGGGGGCCTGCTTGGGGTAGGCCCGACTGCGTTGATGCTCAAATTTGCCCAGGGAGAAAGTCTTTGATGAGCACAAGAACGTGGCATGCCCAACTCCTCTCAAGTAGGCACTGGGCAGAAGTTGCAACAGTGGGCAAAGTTGGGGCGTAGCAGACTCCGTTTTCTGCTGTAACGATTAGCACCCTGTATCTATGGGAAATCCAACTTTGTCGCAGCCCCTGGCTGAACAGAATGTCTACCCTCGCAGTGCTGATACCCCTGTTCCTCACGAGTATAAAAATGATTTTGGCACAGCAGAGTTAATATGTCACTGGGTCTCTTACTAAACAGGGTTCCGTTCCTGCTGTTGACCCTGATTGTGAACAAAAGAGGGCGCTGTTCAGTTGTACGCCATTAGTGTGTTTAGGGTCCTTTGCTGTTCCGATGCGCCATCCACTGTTTATATAATCCACGCACACCAGGAAACGCACAGTTAGATACATGTAACATCCAATGGTGCTTCAATTTTGGCGGTCTTTTTTTCTCCATTTTTTAATATGCGGGGCACTTGGCCCATGAGTACAACACGTGCAACTCTTCAAGTTCACGTAAGGATCATATGTGTGTGTGTGTGTGTGATTGCGCCCAGGGCGAAAGGCTTGTTGGATGCCTCCAGTTCTTCAGAAAGCGGCAGAAATGTGCAGCCCAACTGCACCAAAATGTTGTCCTTGCCGTTCAGCGTGCACGCTTACGATCATCTGCAGGTAAAGGAAAAATACTTACTATTCTTAGTATATAATAAGTATACTTATAATGTACTAGTATACTTATATAGGTAAAGAGAAAATATAACAGTAAAAGTGTATTTCTATACTTAACCCGAGAGACAGCTCAAGATCTCGACTGTGACAAAATATACGCGACTAAACCGGGCCAACTTTTAAAATTTATTTCAGATGTAATGCTCTCAAGACAATTGGCTTGAGGTCTTGGTTCAAAAGTTGAAGTAGAGTTTTGTTGAATCAGTTCTCTTCAAATGAATTCAACTGATTATAATACGAAGAATTCCGGGACACTGACATGTGTCGCACTCTAGAAGATAAAAATTGGCCACTCCTTTGTTCAGTAGGATTGGCGACAATAATGTAAGGAAACAGAGACTGCATTGATGTTTGCCTTGTCACACCGTAGACTTACCTGTGTATTGCCCAATTAGTGTTGACTGGTTTTGTACGCGCACCTGCTGTTTTGTTATCTGTGTTGTGTGTTTTTGAAATGTGCTAAGTTTTACGATTCTCAGCGCTTCTACAATCTGGGCTTTCTTACTGCAGGGCGTTCAGGAGAGACATAGTTTGACCAACTTCGCGGAGGAGAACGTTTGGGACCAGTTGAAGGGCGTCGGTTCAGAGGGACAGACCGGCCGCTTGCTGTACAGGGCCCTCAGAGAGGTGACTGAGGACCTCAGTCCTAACAGAGCCCATCAAAGTCCAACAGTTGGTTCGACACACCTTCTGTGGACCCGAAAGCGAAATGGGTCCTCGGAATGCAGGTTGTGTGAACCTTGTGTGGACCGAGCCAGGTCCACAGAAGGTTAATCCCTTATCTGAAAAAAAAAAGTCGGTGGGGTTGTCTCGGTAAAGTCAAAATCTAGCGTAACGGAGAATTTGTGGTGTGAGACAAATGGGCATATTCTCCAGGTTTTCAACGTAAAACAAAAGAAAGTCCACAGTTGATGTGTGATGTAAACTTTCATTCATTGAGTTGTTAGGTATTTTTGTAAAGTTAACACTTAAATAGAGAAACCTTGCCAGAGCAGGATTTGAACCCAAACTGACACAGTACCATATCATTGCTCTACCCACCGAGCCGCTCGGTACCCGTCTTCCAAGTTGGCACCGTCTTCACTGAGAGCGTTCCAGTCACAAGTTCTTATCTACTAGGGTCATGTACTAATCGACCACTCTAGCTCTGTCAGTTTTTTGTCGGAAGTCTCCTTTATTCGCACTCGCCGTTTCAAGTTGGAGGGAAAACTTGGACGATTTGCCGTACTTTTATTGATGTGCAGAATAAAACGTCCTGGGAGCTGTACACGATGGCCACTTTCTACTGGCGCGCCGTGGGCAACTCGCTGCAGGTGATTGAGTGCGGACGACGGGCGCTGCACTTCGCACCGCAGTAAGTAGATGTGGCCAGTATTGGAGAGCCACTTAGCCAGGAAATCTATTTAGAGTGAAAAAATATTTGCTTGGCAAATACAGGGTCACCTGCCAAAAAGGCACGGTTTGTGTAGTGCTGTTGCCTGGTTTTCTGCCTAGCAGAATTTCTGGAATATTTCCGAAGATTCCAAAATCTGTGAAACTGATGGTTTGCGAGTTCGAATGAAATGAGAAAGTTCAGTTTCCAACAGCGCATGCCCAAAATGATGTGCGTTTGCGGTCATACAAGATACGAGAAGTTGTCCTAATCAGTGTGGCTGTATGCCGACTCGCACGCACTGACCATGCGTCCCACATGCTTTGTTCTCGAGTGACCTTGCCATTTTTTTAAAGACTTGCTTGCCGGTGTTTGTATCGTTTGTCCGTGTGTGATGGTTGACGTTTCGGCTTCTGTCCCACAGCAAAGACAAGAACGCTGCCTTGGTCAACATGGCCAGCGTGCTTCACCGTAACCAACACTCGGCCTCGGCAGTGGTCCTGGCCCAGGCAGCGCTGGAGTCCGGCCAGGAGGTGGCCAATCTCCACGTCCTGCTGGGCTGCATGTATGCGGTGAGTTCCCCCAAGCTGTCCTTAAACAGGCTGTGTCCGAATGTTACGGCTATGGCTGGCCATAATGAGTGCACTAGCCACTGGCTTGTGGCTGTAGCCACTTTCCATTGACATGTGTGTTAGAAGTAGCCACAGCCAGTTGATTCCGACTCAGCCTAAGCCTGCTTTGGTCTCCCTACAGCCGAAACTGATTCCTTTGAACTTGATTTTTTCTTCTGTCTGTGTTTATTTAAGTGAGCCATTTATCTTAACCCTAACTACCCCAAACCTGCCATGCTCGAACAGCAGGTTTTGGCAGGTTTGGTACCGCACCTGAGGAACTTCTCGTTGAATTTTGTGAGACTTGGGATGAAAGGCCCAGGGAGATGGTGTTGGATTCTGTGTGAGTTGGGACATACACGGGTCATTGTGTGCAGTGTCTGGCTTGCTGTACCAATTGTTGGACTACGCTTAATTTTGTCAGGTTTGGTACTGTTCAGTGCAAGTCATCCTATATTGCATAGACCCATCCATACCATATCACTCAAACTCCAACGGGCTCATTCTGTTGGAGTTTATCTGGTTTGGTACAGTAACCTGCATGTACAAGTACATAGACAAGTACATGAACCTGTTGGATTTTGTGGGGTTCAGTATGCTTCCTAGTGCAGGAGCCTAGGGGGTTAGGGTTATAGTACTCCTGATACTAGGCCCGCACTCGAAATCTCCTTAAAGCGACTCTTCAGGACCGAACAACTTCAAACCAAAACTTGAAATGTTGCACTGTTCAGATACTAAAATCTCGTTTCATCTTGACCCCTGCTCCAGACCGTGGGAGAGTATGACCAGTCGGTCCACCACTTTCAGCAAGCGATCAACTCGGGACTGTCGGAGACCTGTTGGCCCCAGCAACGCATCCACGCCGTGCGATGCCACCAAAAGCTGGAGCAGGCCTTGGAAGCTCAGCACGTGTAAGCAGATAATTTGATCAATTTTCAATCGATGATTTTGGATCGAGGATGGACAGCAAAAGACCACGGGGCCCTTCAAGGCAAACCAGTTGGAGGCTCTCAAGAACAAAAAGTCCTGCAGAGGGAAATTTGGCGTTAACAGAACTTACAGGCTGACTTCTCTAACAAGAAAGCAAATTTAACCCGAAAACTGAATTTCAAGGCGCCACAGCCCGTCGTCTTGACGGGAAACAGCAATGTAAGGCCTGGATGCAAACTACAAAGACGACCTGAAGATCAGTTCATATCTGTGGCTTGTTGATTGCATGCTCAACTATATTTCTCGCCAAGCAAATATTAACTGAAAAGTTCTTTTAACTTAATACACTTTGCCTGCAACTTTCACTTATAACAAGTTTTCGCGGAGCAAAAGTGCTTCATTTCTGAGTAAGTTCGCGGAAATCGCCCTCTTGCTCATGGCAAAGTGAGTGACGTCAATTTCGGTTGCAGCTGAATTTCCTGGCCGTGGCTGGCATTAACACAAATTTGTGGGAAATTGAAGCCAGCGGCTTCCATAGGCCTTTATTACGATGTTGCCATGTTTGTCTTGTTTCCCGTAGACCCGTTGGCTATAGTAATACCACTTCACATATTGATAAAAGGGAACAGACTCTGTTTCCTTCCAGCCTCAGTTTGGTTACATTGCTTTGAATGGAAGAGAAGAGACATGGCTGTCCCATGATAGAGGTGCTTAGGCACACTTGTTGAGTCAGCCGTAGCTGAGTAAAACTCAAGTCACGGTCTCTCGCCCTGTCAGGTCCCTGCAGCGCACTCTGTCAGAGCTACAGGACTACAAGTCCAAGCAGGACGAGTTCGAGCAGACCCAGAAGGTGATGAGGATCGCCCAGCGCCGGTCCGAGGACCAGTTCGAGTCCAACCTCAGCTACCACCGGCACCGACTCATGCGGGGCATGGGTGAGGTCTTGTGTAACCCCCCCTGCTTCCAACTCTCCCCCAATCAAGTGTTTGCTAAAGGGTTCTCCTGTATCTTCCAAAATCAGCCACAGAACATAAGAATCTAGTGCCACATTCTTCCAACTTTATTGGTAACTCTCCAGGATTTGTAAACTTCGCCAGAAACTTTTTGTAAGATTTTGTAGGATTAAGGAAGGATACAGCTTGGCTTCCATCACTTTAAATAAGTATCTTCCCCACACTGTTAAAATCTACAGGATGGTCTGTCAGACATTATAATCCCTCCCCGGTGCTTTCAAATTTGCCAGGATCTTTTGTTAGATCTTGTAGGATCAAGGAGGTGCATTCTAGTCTCAGTTACCCAACGTGGAACTTAAAGCTTCGGTTGGATTTTTGAAATATCATGGGAAGGTTAGGATTCCTCCATCAGACCTCCCTCTGCACTTAAAAAGTGAAGGAAAGTGGCCATGCTAATATAGCAGGGTCCCGTAATAACTACATTTCACCCGTAACCAGCTGAAATGCACTTTTAAAAAAAATTCACAATAACAAACAGAATCCCTTGAAAAGCAATGAACTGTCCTACCCCGTCCCTTCCATGTTATTATCAGCTTATCACTGTTACCACCCTTCCCAGTTGACAACCCTCACTGCGAGGTGACGGACATCGAAGACGGCCCCCAGTTCGTCATGTGCACCCAGGGTACACCGCCGGATCTCACGATCTTTGGAATACCCCTTCAACAGGAAGAGGTTAGTGTGTCATCGTCTTCGATACGGTGACTCAGCATCTGAGTAGTTCAAAGAATTCCAATATGATCTTCGATATGTTGTAGCAAAATAATTGAATAGTAGCAATATGTATGTAAACACAATTACGGTTAGCATTGACATGGGGCCAATTTCATAGAGCTGCTTAAGCACAGAATTTGCTTAAGCGCGAAAAAACTTTGCTTAATAAACAAAGGTTACCATCTCAAACTTTATGTGAGTGTCATGCTAACCAAAAGACAGGTAAATACTATTCCAAAACAATATACATCACAAGAAGTTTTGGCTGGTAACCTGATTTGTCAAGCAATTTTTTTCCCACTCATAAACAAATTTTTCGCTTCAGCAGCACTATGGAATTGGCCTTGGTTATTGGAATACACACAATAATATTGCTGTTTCCAAACAAATCCAAGGGATTTTATTGAATGCTACATCCATTTTTGATATGATAATTTGATATTGACTGTAGAGGCTTTGCGTGGTAGCCATCTTGCAGGGCAGTTCTGTTTTCCCACATGGAAACCTCCTTTGTTGCATACCCTGTGGAGCGAAAGCACTGGCCTGCAAGATGGCAGCCATGCAAACCCTCTATTGAGATGCATTAACTCTCAGTTTTGATGTTGCTTTATGTATTCCATCTCTCCCCTTTTCCTGTCAAGGAGATAGAAGTTGTTGACACGTCAAGCATTCGCAACAACTGTATCCAACTGCCGAATGGGGTGAGTGAGCCGTGCCTAAAATGGGCATCCAGGGCTAAGGCTAAGTGGATTGTCGGCATGTTGACAAGTGGAGCACAGAATGACGTAGTGGGTCTGTGTCCCCTATGCCACGAGGCCGAGCGGTATACCGTACACAGACGGGCTTACATTGGTTTGTTCCATGAGCGCACGATAACGAATTTATCTTGAGGCAAACTTGACGCGCAGTGAATATGTTGATGGGGCCATAGAGTAAGTTAATATAGCTCTGTGATAGGGGCCTGTGTGCGTAAGCTCTCCGCCTTTGAATTGACGGTAAATTTTGCAGTTGCGCGTTTTACTTTTAGAGTAGAAACAGCGCATTGCGTTGAATTAGAATAGTGCATTACGTTGGGTTTGACATGGACTCCGCAACACAGTCATATGTCACACTGCATGTTGCCATGGATCAACCAATCAGAACTGAGAATTCAAGTTTGCCTGAAGATAAATATATTTGCAACCAGTGAAGACCTGGCCGTTGCCACAAAATTTGGTGGTGGCTCCAAATTTAACCATTCTGCAGTATACTTCACAGTCACTGGAGCGTTTCACCTTTTGCGGTTGTATTCTTGGTGGGAAAACAAAAGACATTTACCCTCGAGAATTTGTGGAAAATTCTATCCTTTTTCAACAAAAGGCCGGTTTAGTCTGAATGCTGCCTCCGTGTTTTTAACCACAGGAAGAGAGCTGCTTCAATCTGAGCGCTGGGCTCCGTCGCAACTCAGCCCGCCTCTTTAGCCCGGGCAGCGCCCCGACACCCCCCTGGAGCCGAGTGGACTGGCCCAGCGAGGAGGACTGCCGGAACGTGCCGCCCGAGCTGCCCGACTGGAGCAAGTATGCCCCGACGTACTTGCCGCCCGAAAACAAAGGGCTGAGGTACGTAAATCCGTCGACCACTCCGTCATCGGGAAGTTGACCTCAGCCAGAGCTATTGCAGTGCTTTTTCGTGTACCAGATGTAAAGATAACTTTCCTTCAAGTATCAAATGTTTACAGAGACAGTGCTTAATTTCATATTGCTTTGCAAAATTTTTGTGTTAAGCTGATCTTGACTGGTATCCAGTCGCAAGTACCTGTTTCTGTAATATAGTTGGCAGTAGCCACCCTCCTGGTAACCCGCTTTGGCTGAGAACCTGTACCAAGCAAACTTTCAGGCTTAACATGGTCAGCAAGCCCTCAGGCCGAGAAAACCGACAGGCTCAGCGGGTTCTTAAAAGTGGCTCCGCCGTTTCGGTTTTCACAGAGTGGCCCACCTGGTCAATGACAACCTGAACCTCTTCAAGGACGACGTCCACCCCTTGCCCTGGTTCCCGCCCGTCTGTGTGACGGCGGAGGAGCTAAAGGAGGGCAGCACGGCCATGGACTACGTCGGGAGTATTGCCGGCCGGGCCCACCTGCCTCTCACCGACACCATCAAGAGTCTCAGCCCGGTCAGTGGGAAGCCTTGTCCAAAAGTTATGGCTATGGCTATAAATAATGCATGCACCCATGGAAGCCATTGGCTTGTGGCTTTAGCCACTTCCCATAGACTTGTGTGTTACTCCCAGCCACAGCCAGTTGAATCGGACACGGCTTAACTCAAATAGTCACAGTAGTCCATGGGTGATTTCCAAATCTCATCTGCATCTCAGGCTTGAAGCTTTAGTCTCGTGAATTTAATCTGTCTTGATGGCACTCATGTGAACACAACTCCCTTTTCTGTAACCCAAACATAAAATGGTCTCATGCGAAGCCAAATGTTTTGGAGTGTTTTCAGTCTTTTCACTGCTTTCTGCATGTAGCAACTGCTGGCCTACATTGACAGCGACCAGGCGAGTGAGGAGGAGTTGTCCCAGCGCATCCTGACTGCATTTGAAGAGCCCAAGGTGAGGTCTGCTGGGGCCTGTCGGTTAGGCTGTCTGTCCGTCCGTCTGTTACCTTTCTTCTATGTCAATTACTTTTAATATCTGCTACCCGAGAACGAGAGGAAAGGGTTGCGTGATGTCATTTTGTAGAATGGCCAGTCGTTGCCAAAGGAGCTGGTGTATCATAGATAGTGTGGGGGGGGGTGGATTTGAGACACTCCCACGCCAACCTTTTGGGGGATCCTTGAAGACAGGTTGTTAGCTTTGCTGACTGTTTGAGAGAAATGCACACTCCACAAATGTTTCACTGGCGGAAAATCATGGGAATTTGCATTTTGAACAGTCTGTCAATGCTGTGGTTAATTGTTGTTTTCAAGAGATGAGTTAATACTTGTCGCGTGTTCACCTTTTAATTTTCTTGTAATGTCTGAGTTGAATTTATTCCACTGTACACATTCAGAGAGATATGTTGAAATGGCTGACCAGCCGAGTTCAGTGTTTGCATAGTCTGGACTATCGGAACATCTGAAGGTCTCGGTCTGCAATTTAGGAATCACATTTACGAATAAGATCTTTAATAACAGGTTTTTGTCCTTACACTGACGTATTTTCGTGACACTATGCTCAGTGTGTGACCAAGAGCCTTCAAAAAAATTCACAGGCTAACTTGCGTGAGACTCAAAGCAATGACCTCCTTCTTAGTGGTGCAGTCGTCTTCGCCACTTAACCTAGTAGGTCCGAGTCAGATGTAGCAGCAGGTGCCGCGAACTATTTTTACGAGGGCTAAAACCTGTTACTTAAAATTAACACCTCCCCGACGCGGAGCACATCTTGACGCGAATGAGATCGTTCTGTCCCGACAGAATGTGGCGGAGAAGTGGCTGGTGTACAACCTGGCAGGTTTCTACTGGCTGGTGATCGGCAACAACTACCACGGGGTGGAGTGCCTGCGCCGGGCGCTGCACCGCTGCCCCGTGGAGTACGCCGACGTGCCACTGGTCAACGCGGCCGGCGTCTTGCTCAATGCCCGCCGGCCGGAAGATGCCGTACAGCTGCTGCGCATGGCCCTGGTGGTCAACAGTACGGAGGTGAGATATTTCTCCACTTCACCGTTTCCTTTTAATTTCAGAGCTTTTTGTTATTAAGAAAGGAAATTAGCAACACGATTCAAATTGGCAAACGTGCTTGACCGCATCTGCAGTCACGTCGCTTTGTAACAAACGTACCATCTGAAAAGTTTCATATTCAGGTGTAATGATCCAAGTCACCAGGTCCAACATCTCTCTACCATACTCGTGGTAACATTTATTAACAGCATTGGAGCCAGAAATGTCTCTCCTCAGAGTTTCCCACTTTTCCAACTTTCGTGAAGGAAGGAGAAGGGCAAGAATTTTTTTTCCCAAGGGCAACATTGTTTGAAAGTGTCTTTTTGAAAATTTTGTTTTTAAGCTCTACCAGATGACTTTCAGTTTGAGAGTCATCCCTTTCATCTTCCAGTAAAACGAGGAAACAAGATGGCCGTGTTCAGATTCGGCTGAGTCTACATGTTGTGTCTAGAGCTAGGTCTAGGCCATTGCCAGCAGCAAATACACGAGACACACACTGATGATGAACACGGCCACAGCCCCAAATGTCCACTTGGATCGTGCTTTAATCAGTTGACATGCAGTGATTGAGTTTGTTTTTTTGTTTCATTGTCACTTCCATCAGCCAATCACGCACTTCGTTTTGGCCAATGCCCTGGCAGCCAGCAGCAACCTGGAGGCCGCGGCCAACGAGTTTGTGGTGGCCCTGACCCTCGACCCCAAGGATCAGTACCTCAACACCCTGAGGCAGCTCAAGTGTTTCCGGAAGCGGGAGGTACGGAGATTATTTTTACAATTTCAACTTTTTGTTCAAGTGACTGCCTATCCATCTGGTCAATAATTATCTTGTCTCTAAAACCTACTTTTTTTCCCCCTTTCACGTTAGGAAATGACCGCCCAGCAGACAGAGGGGGAAGAGGTCGGGGCCGGGGGTCAGAGGTTACAGCAACGCCAGAGCCGTACGGTGTGCTCCACCGACCGCAACGGGGAGAGGCAGTGCCAGACCGAGACCCGCACCAGGGAGTTTGTGCCGCGGGAGTCGGGGGACTGCACCAGGGAAGATACGAACTGTGACACTGGGGAAAAGCTGCAGAACGGGAAGGCTTACAAGGCAGCCGGTAGGCTGGAGTCTTCTGCTGTTTCCTGAGATATCTTTTATTAGACTTTGAATTGAGAGGAATACCGTGCCTTGTGCACCTGTTCACATTATTTAAACTGCAGATCCTAAGACAAAAAGTACAGAAACACCCAGTTTTTACAAGCTTGCTTACAATGCTGGTTATACGGTGTTATGAATAAACATGGGGGGAAAACTCCTTAATTCAAACTTAGCGTATCTCCTACGCTAAGTAAATCTTTGGAAATAGTTTGATTGTGGTATATCTGCTACATCTGACTGCCCAACCTGCCGACCTTGGCAAGCTGAGTGATCAAGTGGTTAAGACGTCTGCACCCGGAAGCAGGAGGTTGTGGGTTCGAGTCCCGCCCGAGTAAGCTTGTAAATTTTTGCGCACGTTTTTGGACAACATTCGTGAATAAACATCAGTGTGAAGGCAAAACCCACAATGAAAAAAAAAAGGGGAAAAAAAGAACGACCTAAGGAATAAAATCATTGAAAAAACCCCTAACACCCAAGATGTGGACCCAATGAATATTCTTGAATGAAAGGCAAGGTGCGATTTGAACTTGGATTGTCTTCCCCAGGAACTCCGCTGCGCGACGCCCAGGCGGTGGTCAGAGACGAAGATGGCAGCTCTTTTGGCGTCGGCACGATAACCCATCACCCTGGGAATACTGACTCGTCACAAACGGTCACCATGCACAGGGGCTTACGACCGGGCGAAACGGTGAGTTTGCCTGATTGGAAAAACACTTATGACAGTTATTGTGTTCACAAGAATTTATGCCAAAGCATCATGTTTTTCAAGCCGTCAATCTAGACGTACTCTTACGGTCATTTGTACATTTAACACTTAGTTGAGACTTGGCCAGTAATACTGGTGCATAGAGATATCTTATACAAGTGAAAAGCTAATAAAAAAAACATTTCGAGCCAAAATCGGTAATTACCTCAGCAAATATTCAAGATTTTTTCTTGTGCTTTGGATGTCCCATGTGGAATGTGTGTTTATAATTCTAATTTGTTTCCGCAACAGTTGAGGTTGAATTCTGAGGACGGGGAGGTCAAGGACGGAGAGACTGTACCGCCCCCAGCGTCGGGGCCCAACGTTCCTGCTGCCAAGACCACGCAGGTCGTGGGTGAGTTCAGATTGGAACTGTGCGCCGTGCGAGGATGAAACTGTGGGTATTTTTCTTAAGTTCGTGAGGACTCGCAAAGTGAGTGCGTAGATCAACATTTGAATCGTGTTTTCTTTAGACGTGAGCGACTTGAATAACCTGACCAGACTGCCCTGGCCCACGCTGCAGGATTGCGAGCTCTACAAGAAGGTCAACCTGAACATGTTCTACACCACCTGGGTCTCCGTCACCGCCAAAAATGTCAGGTACAGGCTCGGACGAGTTCCCCTATTTGTAATGGCTTGGTCTGTCGTTACTCATTCCTGAGTAACTGATACTCTTCCCCATTCCCTCGTCCAGAATCGAGGAGCACATTGACTTCCAGGCCAAGCTGCCCGGCAAGCCGCTGGTGCCGGTCTGCGGGGCGGAGGTGGGCGCCAGCATGCACACCCTGGACCACCTGGCAGGCATGGCTGGCCGGGAGAGCCTGCAGTACACGGCCGAGCAGGGGCTGGACGAGGCCCTGGAGTACCTGCGGTCAGAGGACGTGGCCATGTCCATCAGCGTGGCGGGGACCAGGATCGCGATGGCTCTCCAGAAGGTGGGTGCGAAGTTTGACTCCGATGGTTGGTTGGTGGGGTTTTATTATAGTCAATGTAGGAGGAAAGACAGTCTTAGGATATGTCTGAATTACCAGGCTACGGCTAGAAATAACATGCATGCCTGTGGAAGCCGTAAGCCAGCAGTTTCATGCATTTCCCATAGATACATGTAATATGCTAAGCCATAGCCAGGTGATTTAGATATTGCCCCAGTTACGACGCTCAAGGAAAGGCTTGTGTCGGCACTTCATAAGGAGGCATCCATATTGGAAGTGTCTGATGAGAAACCTGGGTCGGGGGTCAGTGGATATTACAATATGTTTGAGTGACTTTAGTAACGGAGATCATAGTTATATGATGTTGGAGAAATGATCAGATTGACCTCTAACAGATGACTTGTTGGGTTCGGACACTTACGGTTTATTATATATAACAGGTTTTGCCCTCACCCAACGTATATTAATAAGCACTGTATGCTCAGTGCTTGTCCGAGAGCTTGTGAAAAACCTCATAAG